ATATGTGGTTTAAAGTTTTAAAAAAAATAGTTTGGTCTGGATTCTTGTGGTCTTCTCAAGTATAAATTGTCATATAAAGATATTAATATATGTATAGAAATTGAAAGTACGCGCAAATATGCATAAAATACATTTAATTATATTAAAATATATAATTATATTAAAATATATATTATATTAAAATATATATTATATTAAAATATATAATTATATTAAAATATATTTAACTTAAATATAAATTTGATATAAGTTATATATAAATAAATGTAATATTTTTTCATGCATATTGCGGGTAAAAGATGTTGAAATTTGGTTATCATTCTACAATAAGCAATTTGTTCACGACGAATATTTATACGTATTTGAAGAGAACAAATTATGTATTATATTTTCATTGTTCTTTAATTTTTTAATTATTAATTGTTATATTTCTGTAATATAAATTGTAATACAAACGCAATTAATATTAATAAACGCAATAAATATATAATATTAGAATAAAAAGTAGTTTTCAACTTATTTTTGTCATTAAAACATATTGTTTGCTGAAAATAATAACGTGAAAGTCTGTAATTATTCAAAATTGTACGTATGAGTATTATCAATTTGGGATATTAGAAGATAAGCAATTGTATTCACCGCAAAAGCACGACTGATGAAACTAGTTTTGTATATTATATATATAAGTATAATTAAAATTATAGAATATACAAATATTGTAATTTACGACAGTAATATCTGACTAATTGTAGGATGTCGGAAACTATAAAAGAGAAATTTAAGTCACATCTACTAATTTCAAGAAATTTAAACATGCAGTGTCCAAAAAATAACTGAAAAGGGATATAATATTGCTTCATAATATCGAAATTTCTTTAAATGATAGCGTACACAAAATAGTGACGCAGCACGACGACATGATACTTAAAATAAAACAAATTTGCAGCAAGGGTAAACAATAAAATTTTTACAAATGGACCAATTAGGTTTAAGTACTTAATGTATATTATTTACTACGGATAGAACGTTCCTCATTGTGGTGTGGTGTCGTATAGATAATAAAAAAGAAGAAATAAACAACGCGGAGACAAGTAAATCTCAAACTGCCAAAGTAAACGAAATAATATTGTAAAAACGTTGATTTTTATATTACATGCTTTAAATAGTGCAAAAATTACTTACAAATATTTATTATATACGTTAGATTCGGTATACAATTTAATTGTAAGCTACAGCTAAATTACAATCGTTTTTTTGTAAAATCTTAGATATGTTAATTTTGTTTTTTTATATAATCATAAAATTGTTTCTCAATCCAGTTGTAGTTCGCTAAAAAATCAATTTTATTTATTATTGCACGTAGATTGCATATTTGATTAATACGCAATCGCATTTTTGTTTTTATATTAAAAGAATTATATTATTGATTTGATTTATATGATTGATATATTGAATTATATGATTGATTTGAGGCAATTGAGACGGCATTGCAACACTAATAACTAGCAGTTGGCTACAAAAAACATCGATTATAAGAACAATAATATTCTACAATAAGAATAATGTTTTTGGAATTTAGCATATGCGCTTGTTCATTTTTATATATATCATTGTACAATTATATTAACTGAAGAGTAAAATATAATTTATATATAAGTGTAAATTATATATGAATGTGGATTGTGCATATTGTGTACGTGCACTATAATTTCAAAATTCGCCATATATATTTGTTGCAAAATATGAAAAAAATTTAAGTAACATATGCTACTTTAAAAAAATATAAACGGGGAGAATCTGTATATAGTAAATAAAATATATTACTATATTATTTGAAAATTTGTATTGAGAGCAGTGTACGCCAGATAGCGATACGACACCACAACAGTTTGATTGTTCAAGAATAAACACTTTCGTGACGCAAGATTAACCAATGGAAATTATACAAATGGACCAATTACATTTAAGTATGACTTGGCTTGTATGACTTATATTTCTGAAATGAAACATTTCTCACTACGTTATCGTGCAGAAAGCATATTACAAAAGAGAAGCAGTTCAGAGACAAGCAAATTCCACGTTAACAAGGTAAATAATGTGATAAAGTGAAAATATTGATTTTTTTTATATTGAATTGATTAAATAATGTGTAATATATTATTTATTGTGCAGAATTTTTTAATAGTTTTTTGTCTTAAAATATTTTTATGTGATACTTGTAATATATTTATTGTCGGCACGTAAATATCACACAACATTCTACTGAACATTAGAATTTGTGCTTTTTTTTCAATACTCGTCGATATCAGGTGTTACCGTTTATATAATAACTGTCACGTATTTTGAAATTTCCGAGATTTTGTTGCGATGTCGGTTTACGTATGTTATATGCTAACAGTTTATTTACTTATTAATCGTTGAAAAATTAATTTTGTCTATTATTGTGCATACATTTGAATTATATTAGATAAGTACCATTTATCGCATTTCACTATTTCGATATCATTTATGTATATATAAATGTATATATATGTATTGTAAATTTCAAGCATATAAGCTGCATTGAAACACTAATAATAATCAATTGAAGAGAGAAATCTGCAATATTTTTGTGAACTTTTAATTTAATTTAAGGAGACACGAGCTGAAGCCCAAACTCGCAATGGATATTTTGATGCCAATAATATATATTATCATCTTCATGAATTTAATTGTGCAAGGTAATTACACGATTACTTATAATGTAACGTATATAAAAATATCCGTTATCTTTGTTAACTTTTTTTAATTGAATTTTTTAAGGTAAACTTTTATTTTTAGAAAAAAATTAATATAGTGTTATAAGGATATTTTTTTAAACAAAATTAATATGCAATTGATAATGGATATAGTTGATTATAAATTAAACTTATTTGTTTAGATGTTTCAATGAGTGATGTACCGAGCACAACAACTGCAACAAGTAAAAATTACATTCAGAATGATAAATCAACAAAGACAAACGAAAAAAATCAAGATGTAAAACTTCTAGCAGTTATCACAATTACAGTTTTGTGTACATTAGCCTCGGCAATACTCTTATATTGTGTGCATTGTCTGCATTGTTGGTGAGTTGATTTCATTTTATATTTATATTAATAATTTGATGATACATTTTTATGATTAATTATTTATAAAATTGAAAAACCCAACCAAAAATATTAGTAAAAATATATTAATATTTTATTATTTAATTTTTTACTAAAAGTTTTGTTAAACTAAAAATAATAATAATATTAATTATTAAAGCAAATTATTCTACAATTAAAAATAAATAAATTAAACAAGCAATTTATCTAATTGTAATAAAATTGTTATTAATATGGTAAATGTGCTCTTGAGTATTTTTGTTCAAAATAACAAAGTTAAGAAGGTAATTATTTTTACTGCTATCTGTCTAAAAACTTATATGTTACGGTATTCTCAATATTATTAGGTTGTTCATATATAACATACAACAATATATATTGATATTTATGCACATTTGATTGCAAAAAGAATAATTATCAATGATTTTAAACGCAGGGCAAGTTATAAACTGAGTTTTAGCAAAGGCGCTAAAACTATTCAACCAAACATTACAATACAAGACAACAGTGACCGTATAAGCGCGGATCTGTATGAAATGATGGATGTAAGTGTAATATATGATACATTACATAGAAGGTATTTATTATGTATTAATAAAGTTGATCTCTAATATTTATAATATACATGTGAGTATAGATACATATAAAATTTGTCATACTAGAGCATTGTTTATTTAAACAAATAATTATTAAAAAATTACTTATATTTCATCTTTTACAGATGTCACATAGATGGAAGTTATTCTGATACGTAAGCATAAATACCTTCTATACTGAGTTCGATTGTTCGATAAATTCTGGTACGTTTAATATTTTACCATTAATGTGTTATTTTAAACTTGTATAATGTTTTACTATTTGTAAAATTTTTATAACAGATAAATGCTTTATTCAGCTCGATTCTCGACTTGAAGTTTCCCGGACAATGCATTTCATGCAATACAAAATATGTATATAAGATAGGATATCTTTGGTAAATTTATCGCGTAGAAAATGATAGAGAAATCCCTTATTGATTATAAGAAGACTCAACACCGCAGAAGCAATATCGTGATGATATGTTTACTGTGATTGTTAACATTAATTATTACATTACTAGATATGTGACCATTTTAATTGTTCACCAGAAATGTTCATAAAAAATGCTAAATTTAATATTTTTCTTTTAAATTATTCGTGTTTTGTTTTAGTTTTAATCGTAATATTTTAACTTTTCTTTATCTAATAACGATGCTAGTAATTAAATATTTAAAAAATAGTAGAAAACAGACAGTTTCGATTAATGACTAATGATCGATAAATTAAAATAAAAATATAAAGCACTTTAGCACTTTTCTGATAAATCTGTTGAGTAACTTCTTATCGAATAATTATTTTCACTACATATTAAATTTAATTAATTGTTAGAAAATGTAAATCTTAATTTTCATTAGAGGCCACGTCTTTATTATATAAAATTCTTGTAAATGCATAACTTAACGTACTTTTCAGCTTTTATACTTTTATACTTTTAACTTGTTTTCAACAAAGTTTGAATATAAATTTGAAAAAAAAATTATTAAATAATTGCAAAGATTTAAAATTTTAATAATAATTGAGAAAGTAAAGAAAAATAATTAATTAAACTAAATACTATATAAATGATAGCTTTAACAATAAAGAAATATTGTTAATAATTATATATTCTTAATAAAAATAAATTTCAAATTTATTTTAGGTTTAAAATAAGACAGAAAAAAATTGTATTTTTTTCTTCTTATTTAAATAAAAATTATATATTCACCAAGAGTATTTCAATTATAATTTTAATGCTAAAAATAGACGCTGGCCATTAATAAATCTGAAAGACTAGCCTTAATGTTATTCAATAAATAATTTAATCTGTATCTTTTTGTTTTCTTCACGTATAACTTGTAATAAAATCTGTTATTTAATCTGCTTTAAGCAATTTATGTGTTAGAGTACACGGAGAAAATTTTATTACAAAAATTACTATGTACGGTAGTAGCCGCGAAAGCGGTAGCCATGAAAAAATTATAAAAATTTTTATTGTTTTTCACATAGTAAAAATTTTCGGTTTGCAGCTTCATGGTCCGCGGTTAATGCCGTACATAGTAATTTTTTATATAAAATTTTCTCCGCGTACGTATTATATATTACATTTTCATCATTGTTTATATTCTTTTCTGATTAATTATTTCTGTAACAAAAATTGTAAACAAATATAAATATTACAAATAAAAAAATTTATCGGCTTACTTTTGCCATCAATGCATTATTTCTTAACAACATTAACGTAAAATTAATTATTATTAATAAATTTGCATTTAAAAAATTAAAAGAGATATATACCATACATATAGTTGTAGAATATCAAAGGACAAGTGATTGTGACACGTTGCTAATCAAATTAAAATATCACAAGAAATAAAGATTTAAGAAATTCAGATAGTTTACAAAAGACTGAATGAGTATATTGAACGAGTATATTTTTATAAAAAAATTAATAATTAATAAATTATTATAAAAGAAAAGTAAAAAAATAATTATTAAATTAATGAATATATAAATAATAGTTTTACAAATAAAGAAATATTGTTAATAAATAAGTATTCTCAATAAAAATAAATTCTGAATTTTGTTTTACGTTTTAAATAAGATGAAAGTATTATATTTTCTTTTTATTTGAAAAGAAATTGAGTGACGTTCTCTTTTAAAAAATTCATTTTGTAAAGAATCTACAAAAAGAGTAAACGTCTACATAATTTCGAAATTTGTATTAAAGACAGCGTTCGTAAGATAGTAGTACACGACAATATTATGATCATCTAAGAATGAATAACTTCGTATAGCAAAGTAAGCCAATAGAATTTATACAAATGGCCGAATTATATTTAAGTATCTGGTATGTATTATCTACAGGTGAAACACTTCTCACCGTAGTATGATACAGAGAGCATAACAAGAAGTAAGCAACACGAAGGCAGGCAAATCTCAAATTCGTGAGTAAGTAATATGATAAAATAAAAACTGATTTTAATATTGAATTTATTAAATAAAGTATAGTATATTTCTTAATAGAGAAGAATTTCTTAATGTAGTTTTTTTATAGTTCCTCGCGTTTCAAAATATTTTTATGTTACTTTTTAGTGGAAGTATCGCCGGCACGTAGATATTGCCAAACATTTTTAAAAAATTCCTTTAGAATTTACGCTTTTTCTCTCAATGGTTAGTCACTAATTGTCAGCATTTATAAAAGTGCTGTTATGTATTTTGAATTTTGTGATATTTTATGCCGTAATATTGGATGAAATACATTATATGTTAACAGTTTGAATAGTACAGAGCAAAGTCGACAATGGAATCGATTATTTTTTAACAATAAAATTATTATCAGTAATATCTATTGTGTAATATTAATTAAGAGTTCAAAGTATACTAACTATCTACATAAAGTTTTACGTTTATTATGCTGTTGAATGTTGAATTTTTATTTACATACGGAAAAGTTATTAAATAAATTTTCTGAAATATGTGTATTGCGTTGAAAATTGTTGTCTAAAATTCAAAACTTTTTATTGTCACGACCTTGTCAAATATTAACAAATACTTTTTTTCACGCATATTAAACATCATCTTGTTTGTTGGCTTCTTGATCTTTAATTGATTTACTTTTCATAGCCGTGATGTTCTTTTATTTCGTACAAATATCCACGTTTTAATAAAAAATGTATTCTATACATTATTTATTTGTATACAATCTAAATTTTAATCTAATTTTCTCTGTCGTATCTCTTCATTGAAAATTTAATTTTTTTGTACGTACATTTCAAAGTTTCCTTATGTAAAATAATTATTATTGGTTTCAGGAAATTAAGGCGTTATTGCAGCATTGATATTAGTTCAGTAAAGAAAACTGCAACCGCATTTTCTTAATTTTCTACTTAATCGAGAAATAAGAACTAAACGTGAATTTAAAATGCTTATGTTGCAATTAATATATGCCATCATCAACATCTTTATTTTTACTACAGGTAATGATATGATCATTTAAATTATTTAGATCGTAATACTACATATCCATAATCATTGCTTCCATTGACTTTTTTTCTATTATCTTTTATTTCTTTATTATTCATTTTAAATGCAATAAGTAATATATATCTGGATATTTAATAAACTATACCTTTTATTTAGTAATAGTAGCAAAATAGGAAAAAAGTATGAGTAATTGCTACATAAGGCTATAAAATATTACCATAATATTTTAATTTTGTGCTGTTTGGGAATGATACATATATGAAAAAATAGCTCATACTATATTTGAGATTATAATAACTAAGTTAATATAATAAATAAAAATGTTATTCTTAGTAAAATTAATATTTATTAATAATGAATATAACTAATCGTAATTTGAATTTATTTTTCTAGATGCTCTAACGGAAAATATATCGAACGATGTAGCTATAAAAAATGTTACTGTAAGCAACACAACTGCAACAGTGATAGATATAATAACTACAACACCTAAACCAGACATTGATAATATTGCGACAATTAATCCAGCTTTAATATCTGAAACAGACATTGATAATACTATAACAATTAATCTAACTAATATCCAAAATTATCCAACATCCAAAGCAGAGATTGAGAATATTACTACAACAAATAATGTAACTACGCCAAGCAATGTAACTACACCAAGCAATCTAACTACAACATCCAAAGTAGACGTTAAGAATATTACTACAACAAATAATATAACTACACTATGCAATGTAACTACAACATTCAAAGCAGACACTGAAAATAATACATCAAGCAATGGTACATGCAAGGAAACAGAATATACAAGGAGGAAATATTTTTTGACGTATCTAATTACACTACCCAAAAATATTAAGAATTTGACGTACTTGGACATATTCGCTCCAAGTGCATGTATTTTACTTATCGGCTTCATAGTAACACTGATCGTTTTTGTTCTGCAGTGGTAAGTTAATTTTTCTGAACATCTATGTTAATAATTTTACAATATATTAATATATCTAAATAATTCGCAGATAATTGAAAAAAATAGTCAAAAATATTAACATCAAAAAAAATTTTTTTTTCATTGTTTAATTTCTTTAAAATTAATTATGTTAAACTAGAGAAACAAATAATAAGAGTAATCATTATAAGAGCAAATTCTGAAATTAGAAATAAATTATAGTAAATCTAGCAACATTTATTTAACTTCAATAAAATTGTTATTAATGTGATAAATGTGCTTGAAATTTTTGTTTCTTAAAGACAGAACTAAGAAAATAGTTATTTTTTTGTGTTATCTGTCACAAAATTCTCACACATTAGGATATTTTTGACATAATTAAATTATTTATATACAATAAAAATATATATATATATACGCAGTTTAATAAGATATCATACGGAGACTAGAGAATTTTCTTCTATACGCGTCAATAGGAGCATTTTTATTCGGCGAGCAGGATTTAATGATTTAATGATTCAACCAGTAACTGTTGTACGTCTACAAACTCAAGAGGATTAAAGAAGCAGTGAATACATATAACGCACACAAAAGGTGCGTATATCACACATTTTAGCATAGTAGAATTAATACATAGAATATATGAGTATCCAAATATATTTTAACCAACAAACCTCCCAGATAACACATTTCTTAAAATGCGTAACTTTATTATAAGACAAGACATTTTCTTAATAAATTTATAATGTAAAAATAATAAAAAAAGTTAGCACTATAAAATAATATGTTTAAAGAAGATCCGTATCAATCAATACCGTAAGCAATATTTTTACTGCAATTAGTTACCAAATTATAAAATTATGTTATAACTAGTTGCTCATGATTAAAAATATATCCAATACGATACGCTAAAATTAATAGATAAAGTAATAAATTAGCATAAAGTAATAAATTAGTATATGAATTTTGGCATCTTTCTGGTAAATTTGTTAAGTAAATTTTTTGTTAATTATTTTATATTATTATGTAATAAAAATTCAGTTAGTTTTAAACAAAATTAAATTAACACATTTCCAAGAGACATATTTATTATCTTTGTTATCAAAATATTATTATAAACACATTATTTTTACTTTTTGACTTTATATTTTTATAGGTTTTTTTTAGGAAATTTTGACTATAATATGTGAATTTTATAAAAATTATTTTTTTGACATTAAAAATAGACACTGGCCCTAATCAGTTAAAAAGGGTGGAATTAGTATTATTGGAGAATTAATTTAATTTGCATTCTCTCATATTTTCTTCCTGTAAAAATTATTACATAATAATATTAAAAGTATGCTAAAGCTAATATACTTGCTAATATGTGTAAAATATATTTAATTATATAAATAATTATATATGTCAAAGTTTAATATATAATTTATATATAAATAAATAATATATTAGAGTTTGAAATTTGGTAAATAAATAATTTGCAACTTATGTGTTAAAAATTGACAATTATTTATATATCACATTTTTATCTTTGTATTAATTTATTATTGATTGGTATCTTTATAATTAAAATCGTATGTATATAAATACATGTAAATATAAATATTACAAATTGAAGAAATTGTCAGCTTATATTTGTCATGAAAACATTATTTACTAAGAGTGTAGCATGTAATTGATTATTAATAAAGAATTTGTGATTATATTAATTAAAAAGAATATGTATATGTTGTTATCAAATATCAACTACAGGTCTTGCTGTTAAATGAATGCATGAGCATTACGAAACTGACATGTATGTCTAAGATAACTGGTTGAATGCAATTTTATATCAATTTAATAACTATATCTCCTTTTTTAAAGCAGAAAACTTAGTAGTGCTAATTTATTAAATTGTTTTGATTGCAAGCATTCTGCACCTTACAAACTTAAATTTCATACGTATTGATTTTGTACACGTATTTCACACGTATTTGAAATACATATTCCATACAAGTAACATTTTTTACAACTAACTGTGATAATGGCGGATAATAATATTTTATAATATGTATAATTTTATGCTTTCAGAATCAATTTTCTAACATGATTACTTTTGTACAAGTAAATTTGAACTAAAGGTTGTAAAATATTTTTGAAATTTAAATATAATTACTTTTAGCATTATTACTTTTATATAACATTTTTTATCATCAAGTGTATGCACTTGTTTCATTTTCTGTATTTTTCTTTTGTTCAGAAGCTTTGTATGTTGCTCGATTTGATTGATCTTATAACCTGTCGATCAGTCGCATCCGTAATGCATCGCTCGTTAACAGAACGGTATTACATTGGCTCCAATTTCTGACCGGCTTTGAACGCTATTTCCATTCCCTTCCTCTCTCACCTCCTACGGTCATCCTTTGAACCGGTTGACCTCTGAAATCGTATCATACAACGCTGCCAAGCTACACATCCGTGCACATCCGAATTTGTCGCAGAATCGCTTTAACTTCTCCACCCGGAGGCCGGCTTTAAAAAAAAGGCCCTTCTCCCTTCTATCGAGCAACGGCGGTGCAGATATCCGCCGCAGCGGTAGCACTCGCTTTTCAGAGTGAAATTACTCGCACCACTCAGCAAAATTGAAGGAGAAATCTTTGATCCCGCGATTCCCCACCGGTACGCGATGTTTCGTTCCTGTCGCGTACGTGTGTGAACGCAAAAGCGAATCTTTTGATGTACGGCGACACGCGTTGCAATCTCGCGCATTTGCATAGTGTGGCCGACGAATAAAATTTTCATCGCTGATTTACGAGATCAAAAGCACTTTTCGTTATAAGTGCGTGCGTCGGTAATGTTTCGCGATACGAAAAGGGATACGAAAAGATAGAACGTCACCTTCTCTAAAATCCAACGTTATCAAAATGAACTCTGCGCAATGCGCGTGTATCGTGTGTCAATCAAGTGATAAGACGTCGAATTTTCTTTTTACGTTTATCGAAAGTGACGGAATATGAAGAAGATTCGTTTACTTGAGCGATGTTAGCGCAATCTCACTCTATTTCAAACTGATTGGAAATAATGAGCAAACGTAAAGCAAGTTTAAATGACGTATAAAATGACGATTGTGGATTTATTGAAAATAGATCGATTCGAAAGCGTGTCAAGGAAAATATAAACGTAGTGCCCTTCTGAGAAATTTCACCATCGCATTGTTTCGGACTGCCGGCATATCTCGAGCTATAGGCGGGAAATAAGTAGTTGGCGATGTTATTATTCCGGTTGTATCTGCGGTTTCTACGCCGGCGAAATCAGTAACGCCATCACGTACGAAGCATTCCTGATTCGGGGCAGCCGCGGCAGCTTCACGTCATATCCAGACGAGGATTGGAAAACGCTCTCGATTTTCGTCGGCCGTGCAACATCTCATCGTTACAGCCGGACCGACACTTACACACACTATTACACAGACTGATTGCACACGTTTTATATTATTGCTCGATCATTTGGGGAATAACGTTTGAGCTATACCTGCTGGCAGCTGATAATCGTTCTGCGAGCTCGGTGAGAACGCGCGATGGGAAAAAGTATCAAGTGGCAATGGATGGAATAATCCAGGTGGAAATTTATAATAGGTACAGTGTCGGCCTGATATTCACTATATAATTTCCTGATTTCGCGATTATTCTGCACTCGATAAGAGTATATGCGTACGCGTACTTGCACGCAACGACGAGGTTTTTAAAATGTCAAGAGTGTTATTACGAAAACAAGCCATTATTATAGTATTTATCGAATATTTATCGAAATCGAGTTGAAATCCATTTTGATAAATTTTTGATAAATGCTCTAATATTAAAGGTATATTTACATAAACTTGTGAAGCGCATAAACATATGCAAACTGTGTAGATATATCCTAAGAGTATCGAGACTGAATCGCGAGCAGAACTGCCAGCCGGCAGACCGGGCTCATACGCACACAATCGAAAATCGTATACTGTGTTGCGTAGAGCGTTTTAAAAAAATTATCAAAAATTTCATTGTCAAAAATAATAATAAATATAAAAATAAATTAATTATCATGAATATTAAATATTGTAAATGTTTGATATTAGATTATTTGAAAAGTTTGTCACAATTTTTATGACAAAATCAAAAACAATTTTTATATGTTTAGTTCTATCTTTATTCAATAATATATGCGCCATTCTTTTTGACAACTTTTAACCATCTTGCAACAACAGTGCATACATTACTGAATAAAAATTGACATGTAAACATATAAAAATTGTTTTTCATTTTATCATAAAAAAAGTTTACGAATTTTCCGAATAACCCAATATATCTTGGTCTAATCCGTTATTCATTTGGTATGGTGTGAACATCATAAAGAAATGTAAATAAAAATTTCTATGTAAAATTTTGTATTCAAAATTTAAACATTTTACTTTTATAATTTTATTTATTACTTTTTTTCTTTGTACGTCATTAGTAGTCAACATAAACATAATAAACTAAAAAATTTTATCAATGTATTAATTGTATAATTAAAAATTATACATGTTTATATTGAAATTCACATCTTTGTGATATTCATATATGCATTATAAAATTTTTCTATAGTTTCCATATTATCTAAGGTTAAATGAATTATCTAATAGTATTAATAGTATGGTATAGTATGAATCACCTAATCTGACATAGTCAAGTTTTAGCCCACTTATTTTAAGATAATGGATTATCTATGAATTTTATCTAATATTCGCTTTAACGGAGAAAATATAGATGCGGCAAAGAATAAATTTATTAAAACAATAAACAGCATTTTTGTATACAAAATAATGCTTGCGTAATTGAAAATACTTAAAAAAAATGCGTGGCAAGAAAACTTTTGAAAAATTAATATTATACGGCCTGTATTCTAAAACGAGAATGCATAATTTGCATTATTTTTAAATCCATTATCTTAATAATATTGAAATATTGAACTTACACTTACCAGTACGATGCGCAGCAGCGGAATTGTTGTTTCATTAATCTGCAGCGTTGATCTGTAAAACACAAAAGAACATTCAGATTATAGTAGCATTTAAATTAATTGGTGTCGGAAAAGTAATTACGTCCATTGAATCTTTCATTTGTCTTTGAAATAAATAGCTAATGAAAAGTTATCAAAAATTTAATTGTCTAATCACAAATATAAAAATAAATAAATTAATAATCACAAATATTAAATATTGTAAATGTTTTACTAAAAATTTCATTTGTTATGTGCAATATTTTACAATTAATAGCTAATAAATAAACGATAAATACCTGAAAGTTGCTCCGCCAATGCTCGATGCCCGTCTTGAGCCTGTTCTCCTCCTTTCAGCACGGGAACACGATTCACTCACAATTCATTCGCGAAAATCTGATTAATTATAACAAGAGAGTAGCAAAAGTATGGTATGAAGATTGCTGTGATGTTTAAAATGATGAATATAACGCGCCGATACATCCCGATACACAACTCGTCCCGTACGACTGTCGCCGTGCGAAAGACAACGCGATAATAGCAAAAACAAGGTCTTGCGCAGATTTTGATTTGCAGGAATGCGTGGAATGTACGCGTCGACACATAGTGCAAGAGAGAAAGTGTGAGAAAGAGTGAGAGGGGATATGAGGCCCTAGGCCGCGCGCGACGACGACAACAACCCCACCATACGGCTCGGCTTCGAAACTTCGCTTCCTCTCTCCCACTTTTACGGTATGTATCAGCAGGTCTAGATGTAACTGTGTGTGAGATAACTCTTTGAGTTGGAAGCACTTTACAAAAAAAAAAAAAAAAGGTATGTATCAGCGCTTTGCGCTTTCTTCTAAATCAAAATTTTGCGATATTATTTTTGCTATTATTCTGTTGTCTTTCGCATGGTGACACTCGTACGGAGTGAATCGTGTATCGGAGCGTCTCGGTAAGTTATATCTATCATTTCAACCATCCTAACAAGTTCCATACTACATTTATCACTTAGTCTTTATTACTCTCTCATTACAATTAACCTCTTGAACCACTCTCTACCTCGGTGAGATAAAATTATTTCTTATAAATATTTTTCTGTCGTTTTCTAGAGAATGTCGAACGAATCCGTGCGAAGATATTCAAATATTATCTTTGTTCTTATGTGACAAAGTACGTATTGGTAGTGCGTACATACCGTAACACAGTTACGTAACGTATAAAATGTCACGCAATAACAACTGGTGGATTTTTGCGATTGTATTTCCATACTGACAATGAGAGGAGAACGAGGCTCAGACCGGACATCGGACATCGGCGAAAAAGCAATTGTAAGGTGTATCTTGTTTATTTATTACCTACTAATTGCAAAATGTTGCACAGTAAAATTGTTTGAATTTTCAATAAAATATTTACAATGTTTAATATTTATAATTGTTAGATTTTTTTACATATTTAAAATATTATTATTTGAAACATATAGATTTTTAATAATTCTTTATTAGCTATTTGCTTAAAAAAACAAATAAAAAGTTCTATATGCACAGTTATTTATCTGATATTAATTATTGTAAAAGTTTCAATAATTGGAATGTTTTTTTATATTTTATACATCAGTAGAACAACAATTTTACTGCTGTGCATTGTGGTCGATGAGAAAATCTGATTTTATTTTAATATTTTTATATTAAGTTGATGGAAAAATGATGTCTAGAAAAATGATGTATATATACTTTGAATCAACACATTGAGAGCATACATTACTTTACATATTAATTGTATAAAAGTTTTATTATTTTTTTATTCCATAAAAATATTTTATTTTTAAGTATTTTATATAATTTTGTTTAATTAGTTTTATTTTTAAAGTATTTAACTAATTTTGTTTTGTTTAAACATGTTTTGTTTAAATATGTTAAAAAATATGAATTGGGGACTATATTAGAGGAGTAAAAAAAATTCCTAGGCTATTCATGCATCCGTGGTTCCATGGCTCAATTGATCCCATGGTCCAGCACGGAAATTCGAAATTCGTGGTCCCATTGATAATGGTCGAGCACGAATCTCGAAACAATGTTGATATTGATCGACCATGAAATAATGGTCGACTATCAACACAAATTTCGGACGCAAATAGCGGAAACTGAGCTGAGCTCTGCGCTATGCGTCTCTTGAGAAACGTCGATTTCGAGTCTTGGATGCAAATAGCGGAAACTGAGATGAGCTCTGCGCTAAGCATCCATCGTAAAACACTGATATAGTCTCTTCGAATTTTTTTGTATTGTGAGCTTGATATAAAGAATTTTTGTTAACTTTCGGTCGCTTATTGTCCCTGAAAAAGTAATAGGTTTCTGAGTTCTTATCGGCGAGCTTGTATTTTCGGTATTACTTTATCGAAAAAGTAAGGTTTTTGAGAATAGTTAGTTTACTCGGCATCGCCGAGCAAATAGGAAAATTTTGGGAGGGAATGAAATAGGCATAAAATAAGCACGATTTATTCTCAGGGTTGAAACAAAAGTGTTTTTCAACATATTATGATAGGATAATTTCGGGAGGGACATAAAATAGGCATGAAATATGATTTATTCTCACGTTATACGTCGAAATAAATGTATTTTCTAAATTAATGACGCTTGTGATTGATAAAGTGCATTTAAATGCGTTAAACTCTCTGGGTATTGCCTACTAATTAATAAATGACCGTCTATTTTAATTTAATTGAGCAATATGCTTAAATAAATTATATGTTTGTTTGTTCAGTAGCTGTTCAAATATCAGTTCTCAAGAAATTTACAAGAGAAACTTATTTATTTCCACATATAATACAAAAATAAGATTTATATTACTCCTGTTTCTCAAGTGTCATCTTTTACCCTAAAATAATTATGATAAGAAATTAAAAATTTTTCGTCTTAATTTTTTCTTTCTCTATAAAGCTAGTGTCGTTTATCGATGCTTAATTGCCGACATCGGGCCCGTATTTTCGATGTTGGCACATCTCTTCTGGGAACATACAATTGCAACATAGATTTGTCTTTATGGTAATGCTATAATGTAATTTTATGATAATATAACTCTAATTTAATTTTAACTATTTGCCCACAAGTTTGTTCATTATTCATGTCGCCATAAATATGAATACGCAAGTTTGATCAATCTTGGAAAGAAAGTTACAATGTTTAATTATTTTATCAATAATTTCTGTTGCATAAAACTACAAAAAATTGAATCTTGTCGCGTCATCCTTTTTATAGTCGCTTGAGCAATCTATTTCTTCAATCTTTTTTTAATGTAAATGTAATATAAATTCTTAAAAGTAGATTACGGAAGAAGACTCTTTTTCGCGCAGAAAAACGTTTTCACGATCACAATGCTTGTATGAAAGAAACAAAGCGCTGCTTTCACGAGCAGAGAATCGATCCGCGAGCCCTGAAATTATTTTCCGCGGCAGAATATAACCGTGACAGAATTCTACGAGCGATCTCTCAATCTCTCGTCAATGGATTCTTTAACGTCACACTTTCAATCGACGTCTCGCGCGCAACGTGTACGGTACGATAAGGTAGAAAGAGGAAGGTTAACACAAGCGGATGGGAGACATACGCAGCAAACGCTACAGAGTCGCGACGAGGATGAGATTGGGATGGGGGGAGGGAAGGAGTAGGGGAAGCGGAAGAAGAAAAAGCGGACCGGGGGTTTTCGCTCCCGGGCCGTGATATTACGTAATAAATCATCCGAATCTCGCGGTGTCATACAATATGGGCCTGTGCAGGTGAGCGACGTCTATATACCAATTTTCATTCCGGGCGACATTCGACGTTCCTCCCCCGCTCGCCGTTGTAACCCTGGCTCTTTCAACTCTGCGCTTCTGTACTCGCCGCGCGCAAGCCGGCGACGGCGGCTGCTGCTGCAGCCAATTCTATAACCAGGCTGCACTTCCGTTACCCGCGACCGGAGATTAATTTCGTTCTACGTTCTTCCCGAAGCTCGTATTTCACACGGTCGGGCGTGGACGAATCGCGGTACTGCCACGAGACTCGCTAACGAAATTGAGGCCTTGAGCTTCTCGCGAGGCATCCCAAGCTACGCTCAAAGTTCATTATTTTACTTTACTAGTCTAAAACTAATTCTCCAATAAAGCTGTCTAAAGAGGCAAAAATAATCTTTGCTAATGACATTGTAAATTTTTAAATTTTTTAATAAAGATTAAGAGATGCGTTTAAAAAGATCATTATAAAGTAGGTTTTGCTCTCATTAGTGGATTAAAATTGATCATACCTTTGAAATTTGACAGCTAAAAAGTTATAAATTTTTTATAATAAAATTTAATTTAATTTAAAATCTAATTCTAGAATTTAATTTGAAGTAAACGTCCAAAATTTTAATGAATAGAATAATTATCGAGCTATAAGAAGATTTACTCCGAAGCAATATTCTCGAAAATAGCTGCGATATCCGCACGCGACACTGCGGTATTAGTCGTAAAAATAACAACGCGGCGGTTAATTCTGGTTGAGTACCGTTCTCGCAGAAGAGGTGGTTCGGTTGAACGCGTGTTAAGTATCGTGCGGTTTAGCTTGGCCGTTCTGGTGGTCGACGATACGATTTTAACGGTGCATTGATCAAAACTAAATGTCGCACGAGGACTGTTAATGTTATTTTAGTACTTAATCTATTTTATCGTGCCGTCGCTTTATTTATAAATGGCATTCAAACCACTTAACAACGCGCAATATTGTATTATACAAGCATAAAACTATACGTTGCAAGAAATCAAATTGCATTATTTTAATTAATTTACTATATTTAATTAATTTAATGATTGTATTTTACTGTGTAATAGATAATACATGTGTAGTTTGTTTGCGGAATTATTTTCTAAGAAAATACGAGATTGCATAAACGTTTTTCGATATTTTTAACAGCGAATTGACGCATTTGTGTAATAATTTTTTACTATCATAAATATTCACACCGAAATGGAAAGCAAAGCATGCATTTGCAACGCGTTTACGAAACAAAGAAATGACAGGATAAGGAAATGACTAAAATATGACCATTTTTTAATTGATATTGATTAGCTACGTAGAATTATTAAATTACATTTCACATTTCTACTATTTTTTTTTTCTGCGGCAAAACGCGTATTTTTATCACATCTCGCCGACGTTGAAGCATTTATGCAAGGTAAGCTGCTCACGGTTCATTAAGTTAAATACTTTTGCTGCGAAAGACTTAATTGAGTTACGTTATCTGTATTGTTTAAAAAAGATATTAACCGTGACTGCTACAAATATCGTGAGTGAAAGAGGAAGGAAAGTTAATAACAATGCATTTAAAATATATTAATTTCTCATACTGACAGGCAGTTAGGAAATATTTTCTAGAATAGAATATTTACGCTAACAAAATTACCCTAATTTTTTCAATTATTATACAGAATTACATACAAGCAATGCAACAACTGCAATTTTATCTGCAGTTTAAATTTTCAGGCTGCATCTATGCTAATTTAATTAACTTAAATGCTTCTGCGAAAAATTATTT